CATCCTCCCTGGGGGGTGATTTCTCGCTTTCTGTCTCTATGTCTCTCTCTCTGTTTTTCTGGCGAGCGCACGCGTCCTATAACGAAAACCTCTCAAAAAATTTTTTTGTCTTTTTTTAGGATTTATTTTTAATTTTATTTATATTAAGATCACAGAGAGAAAGAGAGAGGGGAGGTGAGGAAGCAAGCCACCAGGTCCGGGATTTGAACCGTTGTTGGCCATGTGGGAGTGTCCAGCGCCTTTGTTTTTGTCTTTTAATCTCACTTAGGTTATAACTGGTTTATACAAGTTTGCCAAATTCGCGTTTGCCCCAAGACCTGAGCAAATGAACTGTGAGTTCTTTCAGCACTAGGTGGCGGCCTAAACCCAGATTTGCCTCTGGTCTAGCAGAAGTTCAGAGTTTGGTGGATTGCCCTTCTCAAAGGGTCTTAGAGTTGGAGGCAAAGGAAGTACCGGGGTGCGTGGAGAGGCGCCTGGGGTACCTGTGACTTCCCTTTTTCAGCAAGGCACTGCAGAACAGCTTCTCCGTTTTGGCCAAATGGAGAGCTCCTCCTGAGTTGAGCGTTTTGGGGTCGCTACTCTCACCCTTCGTCTCTGGCGGACTTAAGGAATGTTTAGCCCTGCAGGCACTCGCCCTGCTTGAAGCAGCTTGAGGCAGGAGCAGTCTTGCTTGGAAAAACCTAGGGTGGTAGGGATTCTGACTGTTCCCCATCTCAGAAACTCGCAGAGTTTAGAAAGGTCCCTTTTCCATTCCTTTGCCAGCGGTGACCTCAGGGGTGGTTACATCCTCAGTTTCCAGCTCTGAGATACTCCTACTTTTTTTTTTTTCTTGGCATTTCTTCATTGAATTTTTCTGTTGGGGCGAGTGAAACCGGAAATTCCTACTACACAATTTAATGTTACAACCGGGACTGCACTGATTTAAATGGTGTATATTTTGAATTTTTTTTTTTTTTCTTGGCATTTCTTCATTGTATTTTTCTGTTGGGGGAGTGAAACCGAAAATTCCTACTACACAATTTAATGTTACAACCGGGACTGCACTGATTTAAATGGTGTATATTTTGAATTTTGTAACAGGAGCATGTATTACTTTCAAAATTAGAAACTAAAAGATATTTCCACTTTTAAAACGTTTTTTTTTTTTCTTTCCTTTCCTTCCCTCTCTAACCTTATTTGCTCAGTGTCTGCTCTCTATAATTCTGACTCTGGTAAGGGTGACATGTATTCAACTCTTGGTCCATTTTTCACTCGAGCTTTGTTCATGTCTTTAAAGTCTGTATTATATCTGTATTATTATTATTATTATTATTTGCCTAAGTACTCTTTTTGGAAGCTTGTCATTATTTATTATTTATACCATATTGAGTTAATCCCAAATTATGTGGGGACAAAAAACATGGGGTGGTACCATGAAAAATGTTCTGTTTCTCCTGGTACTGTCAGAGAATTATTAGATTAGGCAAAGAAATCGTGAGTGCATCAGTGAATGGAGAAAGAAAAATAAACCTGCCTGAAGGATCACACAGTCATGCCTTACCTGAAATACCATACTTGGAGCAAAATCATGATCTTGAACTTATTTCTGTCTGAACAACTATTATTTCCATTCTGTGTGTGACTGATGAAACTGAGGCATACAGATAAGTTTTCTTATTTCTCTGATTGATTTATAAAGCTGTTCTAAATTTTGGCAGTGGATAAACACAGTGTTAGAAAAACTGTTCTAAATTCTGGATTCTTGTATTATTCAAGGAAGTTTGAGTCTCAAAGCTAAAAACAACGAATCATAGCCAAGAAGGAGCTGCCTAATGAAATCTTTCTGTTGTCAACTGCTCTCTTAAGAGGCTACAGGGTATTGTCTCTTTAAGTAGTCCATATTTAATGAATTCAATCACTGGTGGGGCTTGAGGGGTCTTTTAAAGAGTGAAATGTTCAATTACATAATATTTTCCATTCCTAAGCTACTGGGTGGAGAATGGAGGGCGTGAAATGTAGAAGCCACGCCAGCTAGGCCTATGACCTCTAAGCTGGTGCTGGCTAGTAATAAACCTCTTTCCTCTGCCTTCTAGGATGGAAGTGCTCCCTATGGGGCCAGGTACGTGGGCTCCATGGTGGCTGATGTGCACCGCACCCTGGTCTATGGAGGGATCTTCCTATACCCAGCCAACCAGAAGAGCCCTAAGGGCAAGGTAATTCCTCATGCACTAGCTGGCCATCTTGTCAGTGAGCCGGCTGGAGTTCCCTTTCTCCTGATACATACTGCTCGGGAACTGGGAACTGCGCTGCTCCCTGGCATGTCTGTCTGACAGGGGGCAGGGCTATTGCCCATCAGTGAGGTTTTTACTTTTTAAAAAAATTTTGCCTGAGGGCATGGATGCTTTTGGGGGGAGGGGTGGCTAGGGTGAGGGGGAAGAGAGAGAGCACATGAGCACCCCTAATGGGGATGGTCACACTGCAGCACCTTCTCCATCTCTCCCTCCTTTTGAGGTTTTGGGTACACACACACATGCGCCCGGCATGTTTCTCAAGCTGATGGACCTAGGATTTGAACTGTGCTGTTGGCCATGTGAGATTAAGTAGCTTAACCACCTCACCACAGGCTGGCCCCCATCAGTGAGCTTTGAGGCCATAGTGGGAGATCTGGAGAAGAGAAGGCTGGCCTTTCCCACTTCTGGCCCCACAGCCATTGTTAACCAGGAGCCAGCTGAGTTCATCTCCTGCTTTCTACAGGCTGTGACTAACGTCTACCTGTAGCACCGCTTGAGTGTTGATTACGAACACCTTAGAGAACCTAACAACATTTATTGACCCACTTCCCAGAAAAGTGCACAGAAACACACGTCATATACATTTGTAGAGGGTTCACCAATGTCCTAGGACTTTCCAAACCCTGGAATAAGAACTGCTGCTCATAATTCGTTCACTATGCCTGGAAAGACAGTTC